GGGTTTCTATCTTACACCATACACAAACATTAACTCAAAATGGGTTACCAGCTTGAATGTAAGACTTGAAACCATAAAACTTCGAAAGGAAAAACAAAGGCCATAAGTTCCTTGATATTGGTTTTGACATGGAATTTTTGGATCTGACCCCAAAAGCAAAAGAAACAAAGGCAAAAATATACAAGTGGGATAACATCAAACTAAAAGGCTTCTGCATGGCAAAGGAAGCCATTCACAAAACAAAAAGGAAACCTAATGAATCAGAGAAAATAATTACAAATCATGTCTCTGAGGAGCTAATATTCAGAATATACAAAGAACTCAGACAACTTAATAATACCAACAATAAAAACACCCCCAAAGTGATTTTAAAAGTTGACAGAAGATCTCAATAGACATTGCTCAAAGAAGGCATACAAATGGCCAACAGGAACATAAAAAGATGCTCCACATTATTAACCATCAGGGAAATGCAAACAAAACCACAATGAGAAATCACCTCACACCTGTAAGAAAGGCTACTATGACAAAGACAACAAATAAAAAATGTTGACAAAGATGTTGAAAAAAGGGAACCTTGTGCACTGCTGGTGGGAATGTAAATGGGTGCAACCACTATGGAAAACAGTACGGAGTTTCCTCAAAAAATTAAAAATTTTTGTTAAAATTTTGTTAAAATTAAAAGTTAAAAAAAACTACCATATGAGCTGGCAATTCCACTTCAGGGTATTCATATGAAGATAATGAAAACAATAATTTGAAAAGATATATACATCTGCAAGTTCATTACAGCATTGTTTTCAATAGTCAAGATATGGAAACAACCGTGTCCATCAGTGGACGAATGGATAAAGAAGATGTGGTATAAATATACAATGCAATACTACTCAGCCATTAAAAAGATTGAAATCTTGCAATTTGTGACAGCCTGGATGGACTGTGAAGGTACTAAGCTAAGTGAAATAAGTCAGAGAAAAAGTATGATCTCTCTTACATTTGGAATCTAAAAAAAAGAAAAAACAAAACCCAAAATGAAACAAAAAACAAGTTCAAAGATTCAGAGAACAGACTGGTAGTTGCAAGAGGCGGGGGGGCTAGACAGTGGGAGAAGTGGGTGAGCCTTTTTTTTTTTTTTAGTTTAAACAAGTTGAATTGAAAACATTTTAAAATGTATTATAGCCATTATATACTTCTGGTGAGAGTGTATACAACTTCTTTGGTAAGAATTCTGAAAATATAGCAAGAAACTTTAACAAAATTAGTTACTTTTACAAGTATTTTTCCTTTTAGGAATGTGACCTGTTGAAATAATTATAAAGTTAAGGGAAAATGTATAGGTGAAGATCACCACATCATTATTTAGGATGATGAAATTTGGAAAAATCCAAATTTCCAGCAATACATATAAAATTATAGGACCTTCACATGGATATCATGTGGCCATTAAAAATATTTTCTGTTTAGTATTTTTAATAGAATATTTAATTTAATATTTAATACAACCATAAGAGACTTAATTATAGAGAACAAACTAAGGGTTGCTAGAGGCGAGGGGTGGGGGGAAGGGCTAAATGGGTGATGGGCATTAATTAAGGAGGGCATTTGTTGGGATGAGCACTGGGTATTATACGTAGGTGGTGAATCACTAAATTCTACTCCTGAAATCAATACTACACTATATGTCAACTAACGTCAATTTAAATAAAACTTGGAATAAGAAAAAGCAGCAGAATGTTATTACAACGTAAAGAAACAAGATTTTTTTCCTGTATTTCTCAAAATTTCTACCAGTAACCTGTATAATGATTTTATAAGCAAAAAACAAACTTTAAATAAAGTGAAAGTTTGAAAGTCTGGTAATGATGAACATCCTCTGTCCTGGGAGGTTCTGAAAATGGGTTCCTGGCCATAACGAGAAGGCCACATCTTTGACTGACATCCTCAAGGCTCAACCTTAGCAAGATTACGGCATCTGTCTTTTGATTCCCTTGATTACCGCGCCTTGAAAGGATCAAGTGAAGCTCACCTCCTAGACACCTTCAGAATTGTACAGCATGATTTCTGGGATTTTACCCAAGAAAGTGCTGTCCAGACGTTTGCTGATGTCTGAAAGTTATTCAAAAAGGACAAAGTTCTTTTCTCACATTGTGAAGTAACACACTGATGCCACTTAGAGTGGAAATGCTAGGCTGTAACCACATTAAAAGTGATTAAAATTCAAACCCACCAATTTACATATTTTATATGAATTGAGTTACTATTATATATTTATATTATATATATTTGTTCTTTGCTTCTTTGTGCCTTTTCCTTTCTACACTGGAATGGTTTAAATGATCGCTATCATAATCTTTCCAGTTTTTGAGAAGATGAAGGAATTGGGAGGAATAGGAAGCCACAAGGGACACAGAAAGTGAAAGGTGGGCACAGCCCACAAATGGCAGAGGAAGGAGAACCTGATGATGAAAACAAATCCATGCATTTTATGATTTAATCTATAACATTATTATTATTAAGTTTTATATATTTACAGACAAACTGGAGAACTGATGCGTTTATAGTTATCAAGGTCAGATGGATGTGTGTATAAGTTTGCCAGGACGTTCAAGTTAGGTCACCAGACATATACCAACTCAGCTTTGTGTAGTCACTGATGATTGTTCTTATAATGTAGTCCATATGGTAGTTTTATTATCCTCTGAGGTCAAGCCTCAATTTAGGACAAGGTTGAGTCAGACCCCTGAGCTCCTGGCCAGTGAAACTCTTGGAGATTCTCACCTTCTCCTAAGAGTAGGCACCACCAAGATCTCCATCACTGGTCCCGGCCATCCTCCTTACTCCTGCCCCATGAAACTTCATTCAGTCCCCCTTTCTTAGGATATAACACATTTGGCCCTATTGAAATTGACAGCTTTTTCAAATCTAGAAAGGCAAAAATTCAATCCCCAGGAGGTGAAAAATCTAAGTACATATTGTAGAAAATGAATATATTTTAGACACCTGGAGTTTTTTTTTGTTTTTTGTTTTTGTTTTTTTTTTTTGGTCCTTAAGATTACTTCCTATTTTCACTTACCCTTTGTGATCAGCTGTTCACCTACTCCAATACTATTGCAGTAACAACACTTTTGAATATGCTATTCGCAAAGGTAGTTTTTTCAAATCTACTCTTGGTCCCAAAATTCAAGGACTCTGGTTAAATTTCTCTAACTAGTAAATAATTTATCCTACACACTGAGAACTGGAATCAGAAAGTACGATGAAATAAAAGTTGTTTAAAAGAATTCAAATCCCAAGTTGATGTCTCTAGTTACTTGGTTTTTAAAGAGAACTCATGTTCCTTCGGCAGTGGTAATAAAGGAGTTAGGGTACTTCTCAGAGCATTTTGCTAACACACATGCCCATCTTTCTTCAAATGAATATACAGTGGAAACTTGCAATTTGCATAAGAAATTTTCATACTTTCACAACTATTTGATTAGTCTTTATAATTTTTGTTCAATAAAAAGTATTTTTTAACAAAGAAAGTTTTACAAATGATTCCATTGTGTAGAACACATTAGTAGAACGGAGAGAACACTAGATAATATAGGGAAACCCAACTGGCAACCATCAATCATACAATTCTTTTAATCATGTTGTCAAGGAAAGAGCCACAATTAATTTCAATTTCACTATGTTCCTACTTGGTAACTGGTACCATAAACCGTTTCTTCTTTCCCAAGAACGTTTCGTATAACTCCTGACAAATACATACTCCTTGGAGTTACTGAAAGGTCTGTATGAGTGTGGCCACTCAGGAGAATCTACATTTCAAAATTTCCTCAGAAAGTGGCACTAAAATCTAATATACTTCAATATACCATAACATGAGTAAAGAGCATGATGCAATTTTAATATATGTTTGTTTCATAAACCTTGCCTTAATGATGCTTAATGACAATTAGAGTACTACTTGCATGTATATGGCATCAATTCAAGGGCTTGGGTTTACCATCAAAAAAGCATATTGATACCGTGACTTGTATAAATCCTATACATGCTCATGCCTTAAGTTACTAAATATATCCAATGTTAGAAACCTGTTGACTATAATAATTTTATAGGTTCTAAAACCATCACACCTTTTTTTGCACTGTAGCTTTGAATATGCTATTCGCAAAGATTCATCAGTAATCTTAAAGATGATTCACAACTTTAATCTAAATTCTCACTCCAAAAACAATAATAACATTAATAACTTAAGGGATGGGCTATCGATTCCTTTTTAGTTGTATACAGTAAAGCATTTCTACTGTCAAGTGGTTAGTGTAGGAAAAAGTTCCTTAAAAAACATAAATATATGGTTAAAATTATACTGAACATAGATAAACCACTAGAAATTCTAGACTGAACCCTAAAATAATTATGTCAGATTCCGATGTGTTGATAACTGGATATTTACCAAAGCATTTTGTCCATGTTCTTATGTCTTAAACCTGTTGGTCCTTTACCCAAAAGCCACTTGCTCACATTTTATTAAATATTATCCATAACTTAAGTAGCATAATATCCTTTCCATTTGATTAGATAAAAATGATTTTTAACTGTGATAGTCACATTTATCTTAATGAACCTGTACCTTTTCTCCCCATTTTCAAAAATTGTATTTTAATGTTTCAATGGTATATTGTAAGTCAAAGAGTTCCATAGTGCCCATTGTAAAACCAATTCAAGCCTTATAAAACAACAACATAATGCCACCAGTAAAACCTTCAGCCCATCTCATTTCCTAACAACCACCTAAAAAACATATGAGTTCTTATATCCATATGTCCAGCTTGGTCCTAATGCATACACTGTGGGGGATGGAATGGGCCACGTTTGCTGGTATTTTCTAATTTTGCTCCCTTTAAGTACACATAAGTTTAGCTTAGAGTATTACATCAGGGTACAATCTAGGCTTATTAACTGTCAGACTGTATTGAGAGAAGTGTATTAACTGGAATTAAGGAATTACTCACCCAGCTGAGTCTCCTGAATTGTCAGTTTACTTTCCACAGGATACAAAAGCTTGGGTGGCTTATCAGTCAGAGGGGCTGAAAAACAATAATAACGATACAGACTTATAGTTATGCTGCATGAACTGAATGATAGAACACAATTTATTTTCCCAAATATTTTTCATTCTCACAGTAGTGTGTCAAAGCATTCTACCAGGTAATGGCTTACATATTGCAGGTAGTACCTTCAGGCGAGCTGAAAAGCTATTAGATTGTACACAAGTCAAATATAACATTTCCAAATTGACAGTCACATGACTGTTGAAGTCCGAATCAGGATTGGCCAGTCCTTAAGAACATATGACTGTGCTTCATCAAATTTTTTCAACTTGCACCTTGTTTTCTGTTTTAAAGGGTACCCCATGTTTTCCCTGTGTTAATTAAAGCTACACATGATATCTGTATTGTGCATTTCAATGATTTGGGGGGCATAATGTCTTATTCTTCTTAATCCCATTCCAAGTTTCCATACCCTGGATCACACTGCCTCATACCCATAACTTACAAATTAGATTAAGTATTTCTTACACACACAGTCTCTAAATGGGATAGCAATGTGGCATTCAATTAGTACAAGTACAAGCTGCACACTCAAACATGCACATAAACATTCACCAAGATAATATTTGAAATGGTACCTTCCACTTACTCAAAACCCCTTATTACTATTATCCATTACATTTTGTAGTATTTGTTGCTAATTTGCATGATATACTCTCTTTGATTTTTCAGCTTCCACACATTTCTGCTGTGCACTCTCATTGATTTATCAATTATCAGCCTATGGATCTAAGAGTGTACTATTAAGCATCTTGAAGATAGGTTTTCCCATTGCAGACTTCATTCCTCGCTAAACTAGACTGTCTGGAATTTAGACAAACAGGCAGTTCTCCTTCATTAAGCCTCCCTCCCTACCCTCTCTTATTGAATCTCCCAGGTCCCTTGAAACCTGTCGCTGCAACTTCCACTCTGTAACAAGTACAGAAGTGATCAATTAAGGGTTGCTGAACTAAAATGTTTTCACTTCGAGGGCTTTATTCCTTCCTTGCCAGGAGGACATGCCAGTTTGGGTGAAAACAGGAAGGCTGATCTAGACAGCGGTGCCTGGAGTTGGCTATGTGTCCTCATCGCCAGAGGATTCAAGAATTCAATCTGCTTTGGCAGCTCACCTTCATCTCTCTTTAACAGAAAACACAGTCAGTGTAAGTGAATCATGCACCCCCAACGCAGAAAAACAGAGATGAGTTTTAAGAGTCTTGGTTTGGGAGACCACCCTCACATAAGATCAATACCTTTTATTTGCAACTAATTGAATGCATTATTCATTGACCTTCCTTAGCCTTTAACACAGGAATGGGAATGAAGGGGAAAGGAAAGTTGGGGTAATGGGATGACATAAATCACTCTGAAATTCATCTCAAAGATTTGACATCTCTGATTAACCCTACTCTTATTTCTTGCCTAAAGTGAAATTAACCAATTTTTATTCCCCGACCAGCTAAATAAGCAGGCTATTCACTAAATGTTGGCAAAATAGTTGACCATTAATAGGTCAAAAAGCCACATTTCTTAGGCTCGGGGTTATCAGATAATTTCAGTGAACTTCAAAAGCAACTATGGTATCAAAATAGCTGGCTTATTCAGTAAGTTAAGTCAATTTATAAAATTTTGTGATTATGCAGTTACAAGTAGACAACCCAACAGTTTGTTACAGAAAGCAGCTGAGAGAAATGTTCTCTGTTCAAACACATCCCACACTGATTTCCAGTAAGAGAAAAAAACTGTGGAGAAAGATAATAAAAATCAAAATGCAGCACATTATTTCAGAAATGTAAAATGGCTTTGCGGTTCTCTACCTCAACCCACCACCCACCCTGTGGCATAATATGACATCTTTAAGACCTTTCATATTACTCCCTGTGTGATGACTCCAAGTTACCAGAGGAATCAAAGAATGTTGGAGCCAGAGAAAATCATATGCTTATTAAATCCTTTGATTTTTAAATTGTGTTCCCTAAAGCCCTGCGATTCCCATAGTGCCCCTCCGGGCAGGAGAAGTGAAGATTGAGATAAAGGGTGTTCTGTGTGGCTTGACTTGCTGTACCCCTCTCCCCCAAAAGTAGTTTTGCTTTTAGTCATCTTATATATACACCAGTATTTCACCTAAGGTTTTCATCCCACCCCCCAAAAAAAATCAATTCAATTCAACTGATACATATGGACACTATAATGTGGTAGGCATTGTGATGGGGTTTTGGGATATCTCTGGTTCCTGCCCTTGTATTTTACAATAATCAGAAGTTAAAAGTAAATAAAAATCCGGACTGACTCAACCCCCTTGTTTTAGAGATGCACGATCTGCGGTGTGAAAAGAACATGGAAGCTAGAGTCCTCGCTAGATCTCTGCCTCCCAATTCTTTGTGACCTGCTCCTGGAATATTCTGTCAAGCGAGTGCTATGGCACCTCAAGGTGTGAGCAATCTGTTAAGAGAGCAAAAACGTGCAGCTAAGTAACCTCAACTGAGAGCAGAACACTCTTACTGTATAGTCTGGTGTGTCATGTTTTGATATTACGCCATGACAGTTTATTTATCAGTTCCACATGCTTCTAGTATGATTCACCTATCTTTGTTAAAAGTGAATGGAAACTACCAGATAGTACAACAGCTGAACTATAGGTCTGACACAATGGCAAAATAACTGTGAAAAGAAGTAACTGTTACAGTGAAGCTGTAGCTCAGCTCAGCATTCATTTGAGAGTGACCAATTTTGCTCCCACCAATAAAGGACATAGGCTGAATCATCCATTACGAGAATGTTTTTGACACCTTATGGTGAATATTAGTCGAATTGAATGGAGAGAAGACAGAACTCACAAACAAATGCAGGAATGTTAATATCCAAACAAAACGAACCCACACAAACACAAAGCCTTCTTAATTTCTTCACAGGTAAAGGTGAGACCGCAAGGAAATTCAAATTACTCACAATAAAAAAAAACCCAAACTAATTAGCATCAGACCATGACTAGACCAACTGACATTTTATTGTCAAGACAACAACTTGCCTCTCGGAACACTCTCTTTCCTTCTCTTTTTCTACCTGCCCCCCCCCACCCAAAGACACGACACACCCACTAAAGTGACATCATAGAAAAAACCACAGAAAGCCTGACAGTAGTGACATGAAGCACAGGTTGATTTTAAATCCTAATCATATTTTACCACCTAAATAAAACCTTACAACCTTACAGTAGAAAAGTTTTTCTGCTAATTATGCATGAAAATATTGCTATGTATCCACCACCAGAAGTATTTTCAAGCCCTCATTTTATTCTTCAGAACACCCTATCAATGGAAAACAGTAAAGCTGATATAGTTATTTAAAATAAAACCAAACCTCTCTTACAGGTCTCTCCCAATTATTAAGACGTCCCAATTGACAAAACTGTTCTGCAGAGAAAAGAGGAATTTTAAGGACATTTGTTTTGCTGCGAGTTAGAGAGAAACTTCTAGAAGTGAGCATATATGAAATTGTGCATAGGATTGATTCTTTATCTATGTTAAGGTTCCCTAACTAATCATGAAGGGATTCAGTCTCTCCCTTTTTTCCCATTTCATGTATATTTGAGTTATCAAATAGTAAAAAATAGGATCATGGCTTCCAAAAAGAAAAGTAACAAAAGACCAGGTTCATGTGGCCACTATTCTTGAGTTTTTCTAATGTTCTTACAGGAGGGGCACCTGGGTGGCTCAGTTGGTTAAGCATCTGACTTTGGCTCAGGTCATGATCTATCTGGCGGTTTGTGAGTTCGAGCCCCGTGTCGGACTCTGTGCTGGCAGCTCAGAGCCTGGAGCCTGCTTTGGATTCTGTGTCTTCCTCTCTCTCTGCCCCTCCCCCACTCGTTCTCTCTCTCTCTCTCTCTCTCTCTCTCTCTCTCTCTCTCTCTCTCAAATAAACATTAAAAAAATAAAAAATATGGTTATTTTAATGTTCTTACAGGAAAGAAAGGTTAAGATATTAAAAATATTTATTTTAGAGAGAGAGAGAGAGAGCATGCACAAGTGGGGAAGGGGCAGAGAGGGAGAGAGAGAATCTCAAGCAGGCTCTGTGCTCCATCCCATGAACTGTGAGATCATGACCTAAGCCAAAATCAGGAGTCAGACACTCAACCAACTGAGCCACCTGGGTGCCCCGAGAAATGTGAAGATATTTAAGATGAGCATGTCTTTCTCTGTTGACCAATCACTCATCCAAAATTTAATTTTAGTACCTCAAATATTAATCCCTCAAATACTACTAAGAATACTCAATACTTCCTGGATACCTGTAATCATCCTACCACAAAAATTTTCAAAGTCAGATAATTTTCAAAGTGTATTTTAATTGGTGCCTTCACTGATTTGTTTCTTAGAAGCATTATGGTAGAGTAAGAAAGATAATACACTTACCTTTCAGGGAGATATGGGCTTAATAATTCCTGACTCTGCCTTGTTGATTTGGATAGTTATAGAAGTTATTTAAACTCTCTGAGTCTCAGTCTCCTTATATACAGAATGTGACATAAATAATTTTCCTTTATGGCTTGTTGTGAAGGTTAAATAGGATAACAGATTAAGTGCCTGATTGTATTTTATTTTTCTTAAGTTTATTTATTTTGAAAGAGAGAAAGCGTGAGTTGGGTAGGAGCAGAGAGACAGGGGAGAGAGAATCTCAAGCAGGCTCCACACTGTCAGCGCAGAGCTCAACGTGGGACTCGAACCCATGAAACGTGAGATCATGACCTGAGCTGAAACCAAGAGTTAGACCCTTAACTGACTGAGACATCCAGGTGCCCTAAGTGCCTGACTATAGTAGATGGAAAATAAATCTGCTCTAATAATACCCATCAAAGTTTGGGACAACAGCATTTGACATTCTCTATAGTCTGACAAAAAAATATTTTTATTTGTAAAATGATGAACTGGATGCTTAGTTAATGGCTCAAAAGGCCCTTAGATCCTGAATTTAAGCACCATTAATATTTCCTACATTAG